TATAGGAACATTAGTAAATATGTAGGATTGTGTACACAGGAGAAGGACAATCTATAGAAACATACGTAAAACATCAAAAGACTCGTGCTCCAGGTGAGGCCCAATCGATAGGAGCATACGTAAAACACATGGGATTGGAGCCACTCCTGTTGCCTTCTGAAGCCTCCTGCTCCTGGGGCCTCTCGGGGCCTCCTGTTGCCTTCCGAGGCCTCCTGGCGCTTCCTGTTGCCTCGTGGGGCCTCCTGTGGTTTCCTGAGGCCGTCCGGAGCTTCCTGGGGCCTCCTGGAGCCTCTTGGGACATCCTGTGGCCTCTTGAGTCTTTCTGTGGCCTCCTGATGCCTCCTGGGACCTCATGATGTCTCCTGGGGCCTCCTGGAGCCTGTTGGAGCCTCCTGTGGCATCCAGAGAAGAATATGCGCCCACGAGCCTGGCCACCAAAACAAGCAAACCGATCGAGACATCCTCAAAATCTGGCCCACCTGGGGGGTGAAAATGAGCGCCTCGCTCGAGACATCCTCCAAATCTGCTCCGAAAGCGAAGGATGCTGGCACAGAAAACAGGCAAACCGCTCGAGACATCCCCACAAAATTCCGCGAACGGGACCCCGTGAAATACCCCCCCGCCGCCCCCCTTAGAGTGCTGAGACGAGCGAATCGCCTGAGACATCCTCCAAATCTGCTCCGAAAACGAAACATGTTGGATCAGAAAATGGCCAAACCGCCTGAGACATCCCCACAAAATTCCGCGAACGGGACCCCGTGAAATACCCCCCCGCCGCCCCCCTTAGATTGCTGAGACGAGCGAATCGCCTGAGTCTGAGTGATGACTGAGTCTGAGTGATGAGAGAGCATGAGTGAGTCTGAGTGATGAGTGAATCTGAGTGGTGAGTCTGAGTGATGAGTGGTGGGTGTGGTGTTCTGTCCTGTGTCCTTCCGGCGCGGTCCGCCAATTACTCACTGCGTGGAGCTCCCCATATGTGCATCTATTCGTATGGACCTGTCCGCCGTGAATGTCTAGGCGCAAGAGCTTTCGAATATACACGGGCTTCAGTTGTGACGGTCAGGACATAAATCTAACTGCGAATGAATTGGAGTGTGAATGAGCCTCAGTAGTACAAGCGCGTCTTTGTGCATGAGCCTCGGGCCTCCTGGGGCCTCCTGAAACCTACTGGGGCTTCCTGGGGTCTCCAGGAGCCTCTTGGGGCCTCCTGGGACCTCCTAGGGAGGTTTCGTGCCCCAGGAGAGGCGCAATATATAGCAACAGACGTACATAAACCATTGCGGATTCGTGCCACAGGAGAAGGGCAATCTATAGGAACACGCGTCAAACACAAAGGACTCGTGCCCCAGGAGAGGCCCATATATATATATATATATATATATAGGAACATTAGTAAAATATGTAGGATTGTGTACACAGGAGAAGGACAATCTATAGAAACATACGTAAAACATCAAAAGACTCGTGCTCCAGGTGAGGCCCAATCGATAGGAGCATACGTAAAACACATGGGATTGGAGCCACTCCTGTTGCCTTCTGAAGCCTCCTGCTCCTGGGGCCTCTCGGGGCCTCCTGTTGCCTTCCGAGGCCTCCTGGCGCTTCCTGTTGCCTCGTGGGGCCTCCTGTGGTTTCCTGAGGCCGTCGGAGCTTCCTGGGGCCTCCTGGAGCCTCTTGGGACATCCTGTGGCCTCTTGAGTCTTTCTGTGGCCTCCTGATGCCTCCTGGGACCTCATGATGTCTCCTGGGGCCTCCTGGAGCCTGTTGGAGCCTCCTGTGGCATCCAGAGAAGAATATGCGCCCACGAGCCTGGCCACCAAAACAAGCAAACCGATCGAGACATCCTCAAAATCTGGCCCACCTGGGGGGTGAAAATGAGCGCCTCGCTCGAGACATCCTCCAAATCTGCTCCGAAAGCGAAGGATGCTGGCACAGAAAACAGGCAAACCGCTCGAGACATCCCCACAAAATTCCGCGAACGGGACCCCGTGAAATACCCCCCCGCCGCCCCCCTTAGAGTGCTGAGACGAGCGAATCGCCTGAGACATCCTCCAAATCTGCTCCGAAAACGAAACATGTTGGATCAGAAAATGGCCAAACCGCCTGAGACATCCCCACAAAATTCCGCGAACGGGACCCCGTGAAATACCCCCCCGCCGCCCCCCTTAGATTGCTGAGACGAGCGAATCGCCTGAGTCTGAGTGATGACTGAGTCTGAGTGATGAGAGAGCATGAGTGAGTCTGAGTGATGAGTGAATCTGAGTGGTGAGTCTGAGTGATGAGTGGTGGGTGTGGTGTTCTGTCCTGTGTCCTTCCGGCGCGGTCCGCCAATAACAAGAACCCCATCTTTGGATATGGGGAATAACAAGAACCCCATCTTTGGATATGGGGAACAACAACAACAACGGCTCCCACCTGATACCTCCGCACGATGTATTCCGAAACTTCTCTCTCGCGCGGGACCTCCTCACATTTTTAGTATACAGGAATCGCGCTCTCGCGTTGGACCTTCTCGCAGTTTAGCTCGACGCCGCGCCCTCGACCCTCAGGAATCACGCTGTCCCTGTGGATGTCCTCGCGATGTATTTCGGAATAGCGCTATCGATCTAGACTTCCTCGCGATTCTTGCAGGACGCACGCGTCAGCAAGCCGCCTGCCCCTTGTCCCTTCCATCCGTCCCCTCTTCCCCTGCCTTAGGGGCCGCACGAAATATACGCTGCAGGTAGGACAGATATACCCTAAGGGGTACGATCGAAGACGAAGAGGGCGGGTATCGAGGGTGTGACGCACTCTTCAGCAAGCCGCCTACTCGACCTGCCCGCCTGGGCCCGCCTTCCCGACCCGCCCGTTAGGGTCTCCCCGCGCGATCTGCCCGTCTGGTTTTGCCATGTGTTCTCTGCTCCTAGCCCCCTCTCCTGCTACTCCCTTTCGTGCTCCACCCTCCTGCCTTCCCCTTGTCCCTTCCTTCCATCCGTCCTCTCTTCCCCTGTTTTGGGGGCTGCGCTACATGCGCGTGACAGGCAAGAAAGATATACCCCCAAGGAAGTACGATCGAAGACGAAGAGGGTGGGTATCGAGGGTGTGGGATATGCGTGTTGAATGGCACGCGAGCAGATAAGAGCGAACAGTCTTAACATGATTGCTGCTGTTGTTGTTGCTGCTGCTGTTGTTCGCGGACCAACCTCGCACTTTGGGAGCCCAATATTTTCCTGTGTAGAAAAGGGTGCGAGCCCCATCAGGGGCACTTCAATTGAACAAATGCAACGGTCACCAGAAGGGGGGATCCACAGTTCTTATTCCTCAGAAGTGAGAGTTCAACGTCAGCGGGTTCTCAGCGAGGGGGCGGACGGGGAGGAGGAGGCAGGAGGTGGGTGTTGATGGGGAGAGGGAGGGAGAGGGGGGGCCTCCTGCTCCTACTTCTCCTTGATCTGCACGTCCTCCTTTTTCTTTTTCCGCATCCTCTTCCTCCCCCATCCTCCTCCTCCTCCTCCTCCTCCTCCTCCTCCTCACCACCACCATCCTCCTCCTGTTCATCCCTCTCATTTTTATTCATGTTTGGGTTCCCGATGGGGACACGAAGTCTGGTTGTTACAATGTCGCGTGGAAGCGTTTGGGGAGAGGGGTCGTGTTGGCTTAAGCTCGGCCGGTATGTCCCTGGATACGTCTCTGGGGACACTCCACATCCAGGCAGGGCGAGTTCTTGTTTGAATCCCCGTAGCACGTCACTCTGGTGGACCTCCCAGAGCTCACGAAGGTGCCAGCAGTTGCACAGTTGACAGCACCCAGGGCGGGCGAGATCTCGTTTGAATCTCCGTGGGACGACATCCCAGGAACTCGCGAAAGTGGCGACATGTATGCGTTTGACCGCAGTTTGCAGCACCCAGGAAGGCGGGGAGGGAGGAAACATAGAGATAGGGAGGAAAGAAGGACTGTCAAGAAGCAACAAGAGCTCTATTCGAAACGAGTGTCTGGTCAAGGAGGTTTGGCCACATCGCAGTCTCGCGAGGAGGAGGGGGACTTGGATGAGGAGGACGAGGACGACGACGGCGAGGAGGAGGACGAGGAGGAGGCGCAGGGAGAGGGGGAGGGGTAGGGGGGGAGCTAGGTGCGCTCGCGTCATATCTGACATCCTACCCCTCCCTCCCATCCCTTACCATGGCGCAGATCCCTTCTCTACTCGCTCAGTCGGATGTCGAGCAGGGCAATGATCCCGAAAGGGTACGCGATGCATTGTAGAGCACGGCATGGCATGGCGCAGAAGAGCACCGCAAAGCGTAGCATCAACCTAGCATTGCATTGCATGCCGTGGCATGGCACGGGAAATGACGCCAGCGCTGTAGCGGGAGCACGAGTCGAAACAAGCGGAAGCGCGGAAATGAGGCCAGCGCTGCAGCGGGAGCACGATTCGGAACGAGCGGAAGCACGGAAATGAGGCCAGCGCTGCAGCGGGAGCACGATTCGGAACGAGCGGGGCCCGAAAATGAGGCCGGCGCCTCAGCGAGAGCAGCATTTTGAAACAAAATGCAGGCGAAAACCCAACTCCAGGGAAACCTGTGTGTAAAAAAACAGTACGCGGGGGGGGTCGAGCACTTTCAAACCGTCATCAGGGGAAGAGGGAGAGTAGTATTCATATTGAGTAACTGTAGAAGGAGGAAGATGAAGAGGAGGAGGAGGATGGAGGAGGATCAGCACGAGCAGGACGAGGATGGGGAGCTTGACAAGATAGGGAGTTCAGGGGAACGGAGGAGGAACAGGATCAGGAGGAGGAGGAGGAGGAGGAGAAAGGTGGTGGAAGAGAGGGAGGGGACCCTCCTCCCCCTCTACTCCCCCCCCCCCACAGTCTCTCTGGAGGTCTCCGGAGGTCCCTGGAGGAGGAGGAGGAGGAGGAGGAGGAGGAGGAGGAGGAGGAGGAGGAGGAGGAGGAGGAGGAGGAGGAGGGAGGAGGAGGAGGGCCGGGAGGAGCGGGTGGCGGGGACGCGTGGCGGCCCTCCTCGCCGCAGAAGGAACCTCCTGTCGTCCAACTCCGTGGGCAGCCGGGGCAGCAGGCTCGGGCCGGGCGACAGGGGGGGGAATGGGAAAGAGGGGGTTACGAAATCTGCTGCATGCAGCTGGTTTCGGCCCCGCCGCCGGGCCCATTCCGCGATACATGGGCGCCTCCCGGCGCCGGGAGGCGCTGGGAAAAGCAGCTACGTGAGCTGATTCTCACCCCCCCCCTTTGCTATCGCCCCTTTGCTATCCCCCCTTTGCTATCCCCTCTTTGCTATCCCCCCTTTGCTATCCCCCCCTTTGCTATCCCCCCTTTGCTATCCCCCCTTTGCTATCGCCAACCCTCTATCCCCCCTTTGCTATCCCCCCTTTTCGCCCGACCCGGCAGGCGGCCCAGCGCGCTAGGCGTGTTCTCCGACGGCTTCCGGGCCGGGAGCAGCCAGGGCCTCTACGTGTTGCCGCGCGACCCGTCGGCCAGCGTCGGCCACGAGGATTCCGAGATCGTGGAGGCGAGCTGCGAGAGGGGAGGCGAGGAGGAGGATGAGGAGGAGGAGGAGGAGGCGAGGAGGAGGATGAGGAGGAGGAGGAGGAGGCGAGGAGGAGGAGGAGGAGGTGGAGGAGGAGGTGGAGGAGGAGGAGGAGGAGGAGGAGGTGGAGGAGGAGGAGGAGGGGAGGAGGAGGAGGCCGAGGAGGAGGCGAGAGGAGGAGGAGGAGGTGGAGGAGAGGTGGAGGAGGAGGAGGAGGTGGAGGAGGTGGAGGAGGAGGAGGTGGAGGAGGAGGAGGAGGTGGAGGAGGTGGAGGAGGACGTTTTTGGGCGTTGTTGTCGGTCCTCGGCCGTTCTCCAGCCTCGGGACGCGTCGCAGCAGCTGCGCCTCACCGAGAAAGTTCAGGGGGTGCCTGGATCGTCCCGAGCGGCCGCCGAGTCCCGAGCTGTGCACCGAAGGCCCGACTAAGAGAATCATTCTGGGGGAGGGAGGGGAAAGAGGGAGGGAGGGAGGAAGGAGGAAGGAGGAAGGAGGAAGAGGAGGCGGAGGGAGGAGCAGGAGGATGGAGCCAGGGAGGGAGGGAGGGAGGAAGAGGAGGAGGAGGAGGAGGAGGAGGAGGAGGAGGAGGAGGAGGAGGAGGAGGAGGAGCAGCAGCAGCAGCAGCAGCAGCAGCAGCAGCAGGAGCAGCAGGAACAGGAGGAGGAGCAGGAGCAGGAGGAGGATGGAAGAGAGAGACGGGGGAGGAGGAAGGATGCGTCCGCCAGAATCTCGTTTCAGAATGAGTCCGGGGCTCGGCGTTGAGGGGCGGAGGTGGGAGGGAGGATCGAAGGAATCGCGCCAATCTCCAGGGCGCTATTTCTGACCCCTGCTAACGGCTAGAAATCGGCCCAGCATGAGAAGCCAGCATGGATGGACCCCAGGGACGGATCTGGGCGCTGATTTCGGTATGGTTTCGACATCCAGCGGCTCGACAGAAATTGGCACTGTTGCTTGTCCATCGTTTTGAGCCTTTGGGGGGGCCGCTTTCGGGCTCAGGGGCCAACAGCAAACCAGGCCTTGGGGAAGGGGCCGAGAGGTCGAGGGGCCCAAGTCTCCGCCGGCGTGGCGTTCTGCGGTCGGAGCGGTTCGGAGCTCGGAACATCACGGCCGACATCGAGGAGAAATGGCGGGGCTCGGACTGAATCCCGCCGCGTCTCCTCGATTCGGCCTCCGGTGGCCGCTGTGCGGGCCCTGGGAGAGTCCAAACTATTCGGGGTGACAGCCCAGCCCAGGGGAGAGGGTCCACGGGGTCGGGCGAAGGGGGGATCTGGAAAGGGAGGGGTGCGAAATCTGCTGCATGGAGCTGGTTCCGGCCCCATCGCCAGGCGCCCTTCCTCGATACATTGGCGCGGGAAGGTGCCAGGAAAATGCAGCTACGTGCGCTGATTCGGTAACCCCCTCTCCGCTAACCCAGACATCCGCTGTCTGGGTACCCATGCGGGGACCCCAGAGGTCCCGACCCAGTCCCCAGAGCTGGGCCGTTCTGGGGTGGTCTTGGGGCCTCTCGGGCAGTCTTGGAGCGGTGGAAAGCCGAAAAGGCGAGAACTATGTCCCAAACCTACGAAGGAGAACCCATGATTTGTGCCTCTTGGGTTACGTCGGGCCCGTCCCTCTACAGGAGGAATGTTCAAAAATAGTCAAAAAAATAGTCTGGGGATTATTGTTTGAGCATTTGTTTAACAATTCTGGAGCATTTTGAGGGTATGTTTCATTTTCCATCGAAAATCTCCCTGTAGGGGGACGCGCCCGACTCAACTCTTGGGGCTGGCTTCTCGTCCCGAGTCGTTTCTAATGGCCGTCCCCGGGGCCGGGGCGAGGGCCACAGGCCGAACGAGCGACGGAAAGCCTCCGCCTCCTCCTCCTCCTCCTCCTCCTCCTCCTCCTCCTCGGCCTCCTCTGCCTCCTCCTCCTCCTCCTCATCCTCCTCCTCCTCTTCCTCCCCCTCCTCCTCCTCCTCCTCCTCCTCCTCCTCCTCCTCCTCCTCCTATCCTCTTGTCCGACCCGGGTCAAACGGAGGGAGGTGGGGAGGGAACAACCTGCACAGCACACGAACAAACACGTACCTCAACCGCCACGTCAGCCTTACAATGCTGATCGCACGCAGTTCAGATGGGTGGGCGGGTTCGACGGCGAGCTTTGGCGGGCCAGAAGCGCAAGCAAAGGCCAGCGAGCTTCATCTTTTTTCACCAAAAAACGAACAAACAACAAACGAACATTCGTTGTCAGTAAAGAGTACTGGAGAATCTGGGAAGTGGAGGGGGAGAGGAAAATCCGGGAAACGTTCGGACAGAATGGGAATCCTGGCATTCGTGTCGATGTAAGCGTGTCCCCACAGCAGCACCCGAGCCGTGCGGGCACGGAGAGTTCCATGTGGAGCTTGCGCGAACAGCCAGGGGGGGGAGGGGAGGGAACCGAGAGATGGGGAAGGAGAACGAAGGGGCGAGAACCCCTGACCTTCCACATTCCACACCTTCCGGCCAGCAGTTGGCTGATCTGGCGATCTCCTCGAGCGCGGTCCAGCGCAGATCCAAGAAAGTAGCGCGGAGCTCCAACAGTTTATGTTTGTATTTTTGTTGTCCCTCGAGAGGATAACCAAATCAGCCACCAATTGGTCGGAAGCTGTGGACGGTGGAGAGTTAGGGTACGGTCGGAGTCTTTGGCTTCGCGTGTCGCGCCGCTGGTTCTGGCCCACCGCGCTTCGGCGCGACACGCTATCCACGGCCCACTCCCCGAGCGTCAACGTCCCGAACTCTCCAGAGCATCCCGCCCCGCGGAGCGGAGCGACACGCTAACCACTTGAAAGGCATAGCGTGTCGCAGGGGCCGCCGTTGCGACACTAGGGGGCCACACGCGAACCCGACCCCTACCCCGCACGATTTCCGAGTGGGAGGGTGGGGTTCACTTCGCTCGGGAGCTCCCGAACGCAGTGAACCCCACCCTCCCCCTCAGAAATCGGGGGGGGGGGAGGGGGAGGGCTCGCACGTGGCCCCCTGGACACGCTAAGCAACACATCCTGACCGTGGCCGGCCCTCTGCCGTCAGTCGTCGTCGCTGTCGCCGGCGTCGTCCGTCGCCGCTGTCGGCCGTCCGCCTCCTCCTCGTCCTCGCCCCTTGCCCGTCGACCGTCGTCGGCGTCGTGCGTCCCTCCGCCGCCGTCCGCCGTCCGCTCGTCGCCATCTTCGAGGAGGTCTGCGGAGGCCCGCGAAGGACTGAGCACGGCGGAAGTCCTCACCCCTCGTCCCTCGAGGGTCGAGGGCGAAGCCTCGCTCCGAAGCCGCAGTGGTCTTCTCTCAGAAGGCCGAAGGGCTTCTGGGAAACCCCGCCGCCCTCTGAGAAGGCCTGCCCCGCCCGCTTCCCCCCTCGGCGCGCCTCCGACCCTTCTCCTTCCCCCCGCCCTCGTCCACAAGGGTTGCGTTGGAAGTGGACTCCTACAGTCGGCCCGGACTAGGAGGTCGACCCTGCCGAATCAAGGGTACTCTTGTGTCCGGCGTCTCGCGACTCATGCCTCTTGCACTCCTGTGGCAAGGTGGCCCTCGGAAGGGCCTTGTGCCCTCTCGCGTGTCCTGTCCGATCAAGTCCGACTGTAGACATGCGGTGCCTTGATCTCTTCCAACGCGCGCGATCCCCAGAAGTCCAGCCCCTCCTTCCGCGGGGCCAGCCTTTCACCCCCGGCGGGGGCCTCATGGAGGCCGAAGACGGCCCCAATCCGCCGGCTGTGGTTTTTCCACGACGCGAGCATGTCTGGGGAGAGGATCGGGGGAGAGGTGCGGCGCGAGTCGGTGGTGATGTCGCCCACCATGATGGAGGGCATCCTCAAGTGCAAGTCCCTAGGCTCGCGCCTCTCGCAGCAGCTCGCCGAGGAGGTGGTCAGGGGCAACACTCGGGGGGAAGCGTCACCAAAATGGGTCCGGGGCGAAAAACTGGCCTGGGGAAGGGGCATTGTGAGGGGGCAGATCGGGGTTGGAGGTATTCGAACTTGTTTCGCCAGTGTCTCGGGTTGCTCTCCAGCGGCTGGGCCTCGCCGAGGGCGCTCTGGGGGTGCCCAGATCGTTCCGAACGACCGCCTGAGGTCCGAGCTATGGCCCGAAAGCCATTCGGATCCGGGGCACCGTCAGGAAGGGGGGATAGGCTCAGGAGGAGATGTATCGAACCCTATATCTCAGAGCGTGAATTACCTACCCCGCTTTCGCTTCCAGGCAAGACCAAGCCATACCACGCGCCTCCTCGTCAAGCGGCCTGACCAGTGCAGGCTGCAATCTGGCATCGCCTGGTGTCTCTTGGAAGCGAGGGTGGCCAAAAGCGAGGCAGGTTTGTTTTCCCCTTCATATCGCCCACTCATTCACGATGGGGGGCCCGGCAGCCCGCCCAGCCCCGGAACCTGCGGCTTCGCCACCGGCGGGGATGCCGACGCCGCCGCTCCCCGGGGCCTCTCGGGCTCCGTTCTGGCGAGGGCCCCGAAGAGAGAAAACCCCACCGTGCCGACACGGGCGCCCCACGGCAATCAGGAGGGGAAAAAAAAAACAGACACAATCCATCGGCGATGCCCAGAAAAAATATGGGAAAATATGGGAAGTGTGGGGGGGGGAAGACAAAGACCCAGAAAGTATGGGAACATAGAGGGAATCTTTTGATTTGTGTGTATTTATTTGTGTGTCCCAGCTCCCCTTCAGACGAGCAGCGGCATCGGTGCCTGTCCCTCCTCCGAAGTCGGGGCCTGTCGCCGATCCATCGGCGAGGTATCGCCGATGCCAGCTCGAGGCTTCCGCCCCCGAGCCAGTCCCCTCCCCGAGCTGGCACGTCAAAGAACAAACCAGCCCGGCGGCCGGGGCCCCACGGGCCCCCCGAGTTCAGATAGCAGGCTCTCGCCAGCGTGGGCCCCAGACAATGCGTTGATAACAACATGTGTGGTGCTAGTGGTCCATAGCGCCACCGTGCCTGGGCTGTGGGTATGAAGCCTGTTCGATGTGTGTTGTTGGGATCTCGCGGGAGGCCTCTCCGGGAGCCCCTTGGAGGGCCTCTTTGGGGCCGTTTTGGGGCCCCTTGGGGCGTCTTTTAAGTCTCTTGGGGGGGGCCTCTTGGGGCCTCGTGGGAGCCGTCCTGGGGGCACCTTGGGGCCTCCCGAGCGCCTCTTTGGGCCTTTTGGGGCGGAGAGCTCGGATTTTCGGTTCGTTCTCCCTCTCTCGGGCCCCTTTGGGGGCCGTCTTGGGGCCCTCTTGGACCGCCTTGGGCCGTCTTGGAGCGATCTTAGGCCGTCTTGGGGCCCTCTTGGAGGCCTCCTGGGCAGTTTTGGGCTCGTGGGCCGTCTTCGAATGTCGGAAAGCCGAAAAGGCGAGGACGTCCTGTTGGGGCCCTCTTGGGAGGCCTCGTGGAGGCCTCTTGGGGCGTCTTGAAGGCCTCTTGGGCCGTCTCGGGGCCATCTGGGGCGTCTTGGAATGATATTTCGGCGACCCGGACCCTCTTGGGCCGTTTTCGGAGCCTCTTGAGGCCCTCTGGGCCCGTCTTAGGGTCGTCTTGGGCCCGAACAAATCATACGAGAAGCTGCGGGAGAGCCCAGCGAGCACGCGACAAGCCCCGGAAGATTTGGCAATTTCGGCTCCATCCGAGAATCAGGCAAGGGACCTGAGGACGCCCAGTTCGTGCCTAGAGGCATGGTGGCGGAGACGTGGTGCAATCTATGTGGAGCAATCTTGCGTTGAGCAATATATGCGGTGCATTTTACGCTGTGTAGCCTATGAAGTGCAACTTGCGGTGTGCAATACATATTGCGCAATCGACGAGGTGCAATCTACGTGGTGTAATTCACCAGTGCTCAACTTGAAGTTGTCAACTCCACTGCTCGCGCAATCATCCCACCCACCCGCAACTTGGTTTGCAATACCCGTGCGGGGTCGATTGCGATGAGTGCTTGGTGTTTGCTGGTGCATCTCTGCTGCCGCGCCGCCAGCCCGCGCATGCACGCGCGCGCAGCGGCCAGCTAGTTTGGCGCGACCGACGTGGCCGCGGTGGCGCTGACCGTTGGGCACATCCTAGCGGGCACTTCAGTGCAAGTCGGCGACCTGGGCGGGCGCGGTACCATGGCAACGCCAAGCAACGGTAGACACGAGGATGCTGATAGCGATGCTGGTGGCGAGGCTGGCAACGAAGACGGCACAGTCAGTGACGGCGCCGATGCGAATCACGCCGACGACGATGACGGCGCCCTCGCGTCGGTGATGAGGGTGTTGGAAGGAGTTCGACGTGCGCGCGCGCCCGACGCGGGAGAGTGGCCCGCATGGCGTTGTTTGACACGGATCGTGCCCCCCCCCAGCACGCGCGCACTGGCGTTCGAATGATTTTGGCACGCGGCGCGAGAGGCCCGTTTGGCAGAATGCCATCAGAAAATCAATGCAAACATGTAGTTGTCTTCAGGGGTTAGCAGGAACGCGAGCGCAGGCTTTGGTTTGAAAACCTGTTTTTCGAAACCATGTGTCTTTGTATGTTGTTTGGACAGTCGATGTGACATCCCTGCGAAACCTGGCATGCGCGCGACGACGCGTGCGCGTACAATTCGTCCCGATGTTTGCAAAGGATTCGTGGAAACTCATGATTTGTGATAAACGAGCGCGCGCACGTTGAATGTGTTGCAGAGGATGGCGGGGGGGGACGATACCGGCTTGGCTGGGATTGTAGGAATTTATATTTCGGATGGACGATGGGGCTTCACCATAGGCAGATTGCACTACGAAGCAAGGGCGGGTAACCGGGGGGAAAGGAGAGCCTACGTGGAGCAATCCAGACGGAGCAATCGATGTGGCGGCGACGGGGCGGCGACAGCGGCATATATGGCCGGCAGACCGACTGAGGGGCCCAGGCGACGGGCGGCGACGGGGCGGCGACGGGGCGGCGACGGCGGCAACACAGCCTCCAGACCGACAGGCAGGCTCAGACGATGGGCGGCGACGGGGCGGCGACGGCGGCAACATAGCCGCCAGGCCGACACAGGCCCAGTTCCTCAGAGGAGGAGCAGGAGCCCCGAAGTGCAGGCAGTGCGTGGGGAGTTCCTGGTCGTGTGTGTCCACTGTGTCGGGGCCCTGCCGCCGAGCCGTCGGCGATGTATCGCTGCCCCCCCCTCTGAGCCCCCCTCCCCCGCGGCAGGGACGTCAAGTAAGGAGCCGGCCGGCCAGCAGGTGCCCCACGGAAGTTTCTGTTTCCCCATGCCCCCGGAGACCCACATAATCCTTCGGGGGATCGCAGGACCCTCTCAAAGATCGACAAGTCGTTTGCCCAAGTATTTCTTATACCAATGTGTTTTCCCACATGTGTCTACTGTATCGGGGGCCTGTCGCCGATCTATCGGTGATCGGTGATGTATCGCCGATTCCAGTTGGATGTCCCCCCCCCCCGAGCCAGCCCCCCCCCCGGCGGTCAAGACTCTGGAATAAGGACCACGTTGAGCAGGAGGGGCTCTGGCTTTCAGGCCGTTCCTTAGACCAAGGTCGGGGAACCGATTCGAAGCCGAGGCTCGCCGTTGCCAGAGAAGCCGCCTCATTCCTGATCCAGCGCTCCTCGTGGCAGCACGACTGCTGCATCGTTGCCCCTCAAGGTGGGCACCCACGGCGGCGAGATCGTGCTGCCGCTCTTCACGCAGAAGAAGAGCAACCTGCCGCACCAGTGCACGTGCCAGGTCCAGGGCCGCGCTCGGGAGGGGGCGCCCCGCCTCGCCCTTGATCAGAGCGTGAACTACCTACCCCGCTTTCGCTTCCAGGCAAAACCAAGTCATACCACGCGCCTCCTCGTCAAGCGGCCTGACCAGTACAGGCCGTAGTTTGGCATCGCTAGGTATCTCTTGGAAGCGAGGGTGGCCAAAAGCGAGGCAGGTCTGTTTGCCCCCCACGTGAGGAAGCTCCGGGAGGCTGACCTCGCTTCCCCAGCGGAGGGCTGGCCGGCGGAAGCGGCCGAAGAAGAGCAGCATTTGCATCTTGCATGTTGGGAGTGCCGCGCAGGTGTCTGGGATCGGCGCGGAGCTCCGACAAATTCTCTTGTGTGCAGTGTGCTCTTCTCCCAAGCAAGGGGAGGGCGCCTCCGCCAGGGGCCTCCGCCAGCAGAAGGCCGGCGGAAGCAGGGGTTGCCCCCAGGGGGTGGCACGTGACGGGGCTCGGGGTCTCGGGGCGGGCCAGGTGGACCCCCTCACCGGCCACGTGATACACACCTGCATGACGCCCAAGTCGACGAGGTGCACCAACACGGAGGTGATGCAGTCCTACGTGTGCTCCGAGTGGCACTCGAAGGTGGGGAGGCTCGTTTGACAGAGGCAAGATGTCTGAGAGCCTCCAGCCCTTGCCGCCAGCCTCCTTGCCTCAGGCAGTGAGAGGTCCAGGTTTGCGGGTAACTACGTCGCACGTGCTATGTTGGGTCACGTTCGGATTGTTTGGAGACATGAGGGGTTATTTAGTCATTCTACATTTTGCATGTGCTGCTTCTGGTACGGGACCCTCTCGAGGCCGCTTAGGATTCCATGGAGCCTCTTGAATCTTGACGCCTACTTCGAGGTCGTCTTGCTCTTGCCGCCTCTGGGGGGAGGGGGGGCGCGTACGTCTTGGCCTTTTTGAACCGTGGTTAATTCAATCTTGGCGTCTTGGGCCGTCTCGGAGCCCTCTAGGACAGATCCTTCGGACAAATAGGGATCGAGGCTCTTCAATTTGGACCCATTGTACTCTACAAAGTCGCTGCGATGATCATGATCTGCTGTGCTTGCGACACTTGCGAGCCCTGCGCAGGTGCGAGGCTAAAGCTTCAACGCTTGTGAGTGGCTCTTGGGCGGCCTGTGTGAGACAGAGCCGTTTCCATCGGAAGCGAGGGCACCACGATGTGCGCGGAGCTGCAGCTCCGGCTACGTAGAATCGCCTGAAGTGTTGCGTCCCCAGAGCTGCACAAGCCTGCCTGCACACCCCCGTCGCTGACTTTGCGGCGCGCGCTGGCTGCACCGTGATGGCCGCGAAAGTCTGCCATCGCCATGCCTCCCGATGTCGTTGCGCGCCGGAAGCCCAGAAGGCCAACACTCCACATATAGTCGTGGCCTTTGGGCTTCATGGCGGTTGGCACGGCGCGGGGTGAGGCCAGCTGCATGAGGGCACATCTGCAGATTGGAGCTTGGACCCCGTGCTGGTCGGTACCTTCGATGTTTCAGATCTGAGTTCTCGTTGCGCGTTCGCTTCGCTACTGCGAGTGAGTCGATTGAGAGGCAGGATGTTCGTCCGTAGCACTCCCTCTTCTATACAGATTACCATACACTCCCTAAACAGTGCTTGCACTTAGGGGCTCTTATTTTTGTTACTATGGAATTCACTAGGTCCGCCGAGTTTTCGCTTGGTGAGCGCCTCGTGGGCGCCCTGTGCGCTGGCTGGGTCATCCGAGACTTTGCCTGCTGTGGGCCCTCACCAGGTCTCGGGACCGTCAAACAAGATTCGGGATGAGAAGCCGGTCCCGGGGAAGGGGTCGATCCCTCCGGGGGCCGAAGTTTTGAAAAAGTCATGACGTTGGGGGTCTGGGGCAGTGGGATGAAGGGCAAGCTTAGGTGCGGACAGGCTCCAGCGGGGACGCGTGGACCCCCGATCGCACATTCATCGCCGATGGGGGCCACCCAGCCCACCCCGCCCAGGAACGTGCGGATGCGCAGTCGGTGCACCGCCGATTCCAGGGCGATGTTTTCCCCCTGAGCCAGTCCCCTCCGAAAGTTCCCCCGCACGCGCGGCAGTTTCCGCGAGGCAGCTTCAGCGAGGAGCGCGGCAGCTCCTATCGTTCCCCCCCCTAAGGTGCTTCAGCCAGTCCCCTCCTGACGCGCAGCACCTCCGGACGTGCTTCAGCCAGCCCCCCCCTGACGTGCTTCAGCCAGCCCCCCGACGTGCGGCATCTCCTAGAGTGGTTCAGCCAGTCCCCTCCTAGCGTTCCCCCCCGCGCGCGGCAGCTCCAGCGAGCTCGGAGGTCGGGACCCGCACGCGCGGCAGCTTCAGCGAGGAGTGCGCCGCGTTCATGGGGTCGCGGAGGGGCAGCTTCGGAGACGCGCCGGCGGCCGAGCAGCAGCCCTACGACGTGCACCGCAAGCGCATCCGCAACGAGACGGCCCCCCAGGGGTCGAGCAGTGACGAAGCGTCCTGGTCTGCCCATAGGCCCGCCAAAGATTAGTTGTGATAAGTTGTGCGATGTGTTTGAACACGCAAAGCAGATCGTGCTTGCGTGTTTCGCATATTATGTCAGCATTTCGGGCCGAGGCAGCCTTGTTAAAGATCATCGGTTTCACCCTACAAAAACACGGTCTCCGTTATGAGAACGATTTGTTTCTGTAAGAGCATGTCATGAGAGGCCTATCGGAATACTGCGACGGTCGGTCTCTGCTCAAAGGGAGAACATGTCCAACCCATACCTCCCGTTGGAAGTTTGCCGCCACTTTCGGCCTCCTAGGTCCGCTTTTTCGGGCCCCAGGGTCCGTTCGGCGCGACAGAAATAGGTCACGGGGGAGGGGACGAGAGAGACAGCAGGGACCTGGGAACTTGAGCGTAAACATGGTCTCGAGTCGGATTTGGGAGGTCGTGGGGAAATCAGGAGGGGCCGTTTCTGCCCCGTCTCGGGGCCCGGCCGGGGCTTTCGCGGATCGATCCAGTTCGAGGCACACAGCGGGGGCGTTCGTTAAGGAATGTGCCCAGGAGGCTTCCGATCCTAGGTGGTTGTTTATCTGATGCGGGCGGCAGTGATTTCCATGGCCAAGCCTCAAACGGTGTTCCACCGGCTTCCAGACCCATGGTCTCTTATCCAATGGTTTCTGATCTAATTCCCTACCCTACCGCGGTCGGACGTAGTCGACGGATACGGTCATGTGTTCGTCACGACATAGTAAGTTTGTTACTTCACGACGTCGGATCCCAGAGCAAATACGTAGCACCCCGCAATTGCGGATAAGAGTGAGGGGGCGGGCGCGGGCGACGCGGGCGTCGAGCCGGCGGACTTCGTGGCCCTAACCTTCCTTGTCGATGGCGCCCTCCCCCTCCTCCTGCTCCTCCTCCTCCTCCTCCTGCTCCTCCTCCTCCTCTTCCTTGTCCGCGTCCTCGTCCTCATCGTCGTCGTGCTCTGACGAGTTCAGCGCGGGGTTGATCGCTGGTGGGCCACCCGGAACGAATTCAAAATCAGCCCGCCGCAGGCGCCGAATTTTTGGCTTTTTCAGTGAACGTAGTTTGGGCCGTGGGTGGGTCGCGGGCTCTCCACCTCCACTTGGAATCTATTGAAAACCAGCCAGCCGCAGGCGCCGAAAATTTCGATTTGTACACTGAACGCGGTTTGGGTCGCAGGTTCTCCACCTGGAACGAATGCAAAAGAAACCCGCCGCAAGCGCCGAAGCTTTGACTTGTTCAGTGAACGTAGTTTGGTTCGCGGGTGGGTCGCGGGCTCTCCATCTCCTCTTGGAAGGAATTCCAAAACAGCCCACCGCAGGCGCCGAAAGTTTTGATTAGTACACTGAACGCCGTTTGGGTCGCGGGTGGGTCGCAGGTTCTCCACCTGGAACTAATGCCAAAGAAGCCCGCCGCAGGCGCCGAAAATTTTGGGTGGGTCGCGGGTGGGTCGCGGGTGGGTCGCGTTGGGTCGCGGGTGGGTCGCGGGCGCGGTTTGGGTCGCGGGTGGGTCGCAGGTTCTCCATTTGGAACGAATGCAAAAGAAACCCGCCGCAGGCGCCGAAAATTTGGGTGGGTGGGTCGCGGGTGGGTCGCGGGTGGGTCGCGGGGTCGCGGGTGGGTCGCGGGTGGGTCGCGGGTGGGTCGCGGGTGGGTCGCCGGGTGGGTCTCGGGGTGGGTCGCGGGCGGGTCGCGGGTTGGGTCGCGGGTGGGTCGCGGGTGGGTCGCGGGTGGGTCGCGGGGTGGGTCGCGGGTGGGTCGCGGGGTGGGTCGCGGGTGGGTTGCCGCGGGCGGGTCGCTGCTGGGTCGCGGGTGGGTCGCGGGGTGGGTCGCGGGTGGGACGACGACAACAAACAACAAACAACAACAACAACAACAACAACAACAACAACAACAACAACAACAACCAGTTTAAGGCTGTACGCTCTTACTTGCCCGCGAGTCATTCAACACGTATACCCTACACCCTCGAAACCCGCCCTCTTCGTCTTCGATCACACCCCTTTCGGGGGGATTATTTCTCTTTGCTGGGGCCGGCGGGCTTAGACGTACGGGCAAACCGGAACGGGCGGACAATCCTTCGGGGGCGTACATCTCTCTGCCCGCCATTGGAATTGGCGCGGGCCCTGCAAGAGGAGGAGGGGAAGAACGAGGGAGAGTGGGAGGAAGGGGAGGGGGAAGGACGAAGGAAGAGGGAAGATACCACGTTGTGAAGGCGTCCTTGGCGCGTGCGTGGTTCCTGAGCGCCGAAACGCAATTCCAGAATAATTTGTGAGGACGTCGCACGCGAGAGCGCAGTCCTGAGTACATTGTGAGGAAATCTCGGGCGGAAGCGGGGGCCCTGACTAAGTTGCGAGGAAGTCTCAAGCGGGAGCGCCGTTCCTGAGCAAATTGCACGGAAGTCTCAGGCGGGAGCGGGGGTCCTCACTAAATTGCGAGGAAGTCTCAGGCGGGAGCGCCGTTCCTGAGTCAATTGCGCGGAAATGTCAAGCAGGAGCGGGGGTCCTGAGTAAAATTCGAAGAAGTCTCAGGCGGGAGCGCCGTTCCCACGTAAATTGCACGGAAGTCTCAGGCGGGAGCGGGGGTCTTGATTACATTGCGAGGAAGTCTCAGACGGGAGCGCCTTTCCTGAGTAAATTGCGCGGAAGTCTCAGGCGGGAGCGGGGGTCCTGAGTAAAAATCGAGGAAGTCTCAGGCGGGAGCCGTTGTTGTTGTAGCCCGGGGGGCAGGGGCACAGTTTGAGCAGGAAGACTTTCCTTAAGAAAAAACAAGGTGCGAGCCCCGGGGGTGGCACTTCAATCGAAAAAATCAATGTGCACCGGTGGGGGGGATCAACAATAATTATTCTTCAAGAATGAGAGTTCAACAAGAATCCGCATCGCGGAATTCCACTTCAGCCACGCACCCAGGGACAGTGAATGACCGTTCGGTTCAGCCCCCTCACTCTGACGTGTTATGTTATTTTCTACCGCGTTAGCGCAAGCGGGTGCCCACACTGTTTATCGCAAGCGGGCGCCCACACTGCAATTCCATCCCGTATTCTACCCTTCGTGCGTGATGGATTCTCCCCTGCAGGTGCTGGGGATGATGTCACGGGGCCCGGCGCCCGCGAAGCAGAACGTCGAGGACGATGACGACGACGACTTCGAGAAGCCGGATGGGGAGGAGAAGGCTCGGAGTGAGAAACAGGAATTTCCAGGAGGGGTTGCATGTCAGCGCTTCCCGCCTTTGGGGGCCCTTGGGGGGTCTCGTCGTCACGGTTGATTGTTCCTCGAATTCTTAGTCAGAGCGCGGTCCAGGACAGGTCCAGGGGTCGACTTGGAAGGAGAGGAAGGTAAGGCTCTGGGCGGCAAACATCGCAGCGATGGTGGGGCTCGGCCATCTCCTCTGCTGCGTCCTCTTCTTCTCCTCCTCGGCATCCACGACCTCGTCTTCCTCCTCACCTTCCTCCCATTCCTTCCTTCATTCTCCCCCTCCTCCTCCCTCAAACCCTTTGCTCGGGCATGCTGTTCGGACTAACCCGTTTCTTCCGAGTGGTGCTTGGGAGATTTCACCAGCGGTCGTACCCCATTATTTCGAGTGCGAACGACAGCAGGGACACCACAGCATGGCCCCTTTCCGCCCCTAGACCTGTTGCAGAATTCTTTGACACTCAAAGTGGCAAGTTGCCACAATAGCCCAAGATCGCATATGCATGCGTTGCATCAACTTTCGGCTGTTCGCGCCACGCTCCCCAGTTCATAGTGCCCATGTCGGTGATGAATGGGTGCTGAGTGCGCTGGGTGCCTCGGTGCGCCTGTTAGTGTTTGCGGTGCCAGGGTGTGTGTGTGTGTGATTGTGTGTGTTTGTGTGCGTGTGTGTTTGTGTTTATGTTTGTGTTTGTGGTTGTGTTTGTGTTTGTGTGTGTATGTGTTTTTGTGGTTGTGCTTGTGCTTGTGTTTGTATGTGTGTGTTTGTGTGTTCGTGTTTCTGTGTGTGTTTGTGTCTTTGTGTGTTTGTGTGTTTGTGCGTTTGTGTGTGTGTGTTTGTGTGTGTGGTTGTGTGTTTGTGTGTTGGTGTGTTTGTGTGCTTGCGTGTTTGTGTGTTTGTGTGTTTGTGTGGTTGTGTGGTTGTGTGGTTGTGTGGTTGAGTGGTTGTGTGGTTGTGTGTTTGTGTGTTTGTGTGCTTGTGTGTTTGTGTGTTTGTGTGTTTGTGTGTGTGTTTGTGTGGTTGTGTGGTTGTGTGTTTGTGTGTTTGTGTGTTTGTGTGTTTGTGTGTTTGTGTGGTTGTGTGTTTGTGTGTTTGGTTGTGTGGTTGTGTGTTTGTGTGTGTTGTGTGTGTGTGTTGTGTTTGTGTGTTTGTGTGGTTGTGTGGTTGTGTTTGTGTGGTTGTGTATATGTGTGTTTGTGTTTGTGTGTTCGTGTGTTTGTGTTTGTGTTTGTGTGTGTGTGTGTTTGTGTGTGTTTGTGTGTGTGTTTGTGTTTGTGTTTGTGTTTGTGTTTGCGTTTGTGTTTGTGTTTGTGTGTGTGTGTTTGTGTTTGTGCTTGTGTTTGTGTTTGTGTGTGTTTGTGTGCGTGTGCGTGTGTGTACGTGCGTGCGTGCGTGCGTGTGCGCGTGCGTGCGCGTGTGTGTATGTGCGTGGTGTGTGTAGGTGTAGGTGTGGGTGTGGGTGTATGTGGGTGTGTGCGTGTGTGCGTGTGTGCGTGTGTGCGTGTGTGCGTGTGTGCGTGTGTGTGTGTGTGTGGGTGTGTGGGTGTGTGGGTGTTTGAGGGTGTGTGGGCGTGTGGTTGCGTGGGTGTGTGGGTGTGTGCGTGTGTGCGTGTGTACGTGCGTGCGTGCGTCCGTGCGTGCGGGAGCGCGTGCGTGCGTGCGTGCATGTGTGTGTGTGGATGTGCGGGTGTGTGGGTGCGTGGGTGCTGCCAAGGGGTTTTCGGAAGGGCACGGGTGCTTGCGGGTTTCAGGAAGCACATGGAGGAACACGTTGTCTTGCAAAAACTTTGCATGTCCGAGAAATTCCGCCGAGGGATTTCCTCGACCAACATTTTCTTAGGTTGCCAGCGGTGTCTGTGATGGTGGTACCTTTGGGTGCCTGCGCATGCGTGTCGTTCTTGAGGAGTTCGTTGAGGTGTCTCGGGTGGTGGCATGTCTGGAGTGGACGTGGTTCGTCAGGTGTCTGGCGGTGCCTGTGGTGCTGGTGGGGTTTTTGGGGTGGCCTGGGTATCTCGGATGCGTTCGGTGCCTCGTGTTCTTGGCTTTTGCTGTGTTTCTTTCCGGTATGTGCTCGTCCTGGCCCTTCCGAGTGAATCTGACGGGAGGGGGGTCCCAGGTGAGTTTGCCCAGGTAAGGTTGCTTGGGTCAATTTGTTCAGGCGGGCTTTCCGGGCTGAGCTCGCCAGGGTGACTTGGATGGTGTTGCTTTATTCCTCCCTGCGTGCGGGCGGCGGGCGGGCGGGTTCGTGTTGCTGTTGGCGGTGGTGTTGGTGCTGCTGCTGGTGTTGCCACGCAGGTGTTGCTGCGCTGACGTTGCTGATGGTGATGCTGGTATGGCCACTGCTGATGTTCAGGAGGGAAAAAACACAGACACAATTAATCGTCGACTCCAAAAAAATATGGGAAAATATGGGAAGTGGGGGGAAGACAAAAACCCAGAAAATATGGGAACATATGGGGAATCCTGTTATTTGTGTCAAGTTATTTGTGTGTCCCAGGGCCCCTTCTGATTTTCCAGCTGCTGTGTTTGGTGTTGCTGTTGGCGTTGTTGGCGCTGGTGTTCCTGTGCCGATGCCGCTGCCGGGGTTGCTGCAGCTGTTGCTGGTGATGATAGTATTGCTAGTGCTGTTGCGCTGCTGGTGTTGCTGCTGCTGGTGTTGCTGCTGCTGCTACTCCTGCTGCTGCTTGTGTTGCTGGCGCGGGTGTTGCTGTGACGCTGTTGATGCCAGGGCTGTTGTTGGTGTTTATGTTGGTGCTGCTGCTGGTGTTGGTGATGCTGGTATTGATGCTGCTCGTGTTTTTGCTGCTGGAGTTGGTGCTGGTGTTGCCACAGGTGTTGATGAGCTGCTGGTGATGCTGGTGCTGCCGCTGCTGGTGCTGCAGCTGCTGCTTTTGGTGCTGCTGCTGGTGCTGCAGGTGCTGGCGTTGCTGTGCTAATGTTGCCGATGGTGGTATTGGCGTTGCCGTTGCTGGTGTTGCTGCCGCTGCTGGTGTTGGCGTTGGTGCCACTGCTGCTGGTGCTGCTGCTGGTGATGCTGCTGGTGCTGCTGCTGCTGGTGCTGTTGCGCCGCACCAGCGGCGACGGCGGCGCAGTCCGCCCCGCGGTGTCCTGGCTTGCCCGTGCCATTTTGCTGGTGCAGCGTTGGGGGTCTCCGGGTTTCGCCGCAGACAGAATCCGAGGCTTCTGCTTTGAAATAGTTATCTGTGTGTTCGCCTCGTTTCGCTTTGCGGGTTTCGCCCTTGCTGTTTCCTGGGTTCGCCCTGCGACCCCCTTGGAGGACAGGCTGGGCGTCTCAGCTCCATTTTTGGGGCCTCGCCTGGATCCCATCAGAACTGCGGGTGCTGGCGGAGCTCTCGGCCGAGATCCGTCATGTTCGAGATTCATGAAGCGGGCGTCCTCCTAGACGCGCGCCGAGTTCGGCCAGCTCCAGGGGCCTAGAGGTCCCTCGAGGTCTCCAGAGACCCTCCCGGAGGCTTCTGGAGAACCTCGCGAGCCTGTGGAGGCCGAGAGAGGCCCAGCTAAATTCACATACGTCGATCCTTGGCGGCGACGGCGCTTCCCGAGCTGACTCCTGCGCGCATGAGCGGCCTGTGTTGCCCAGACGAGGCGGACGGCCCTGTGGGGGACCAGCTGGTGGTCTCCTTCTCGTCGATCCAGAACTCCCAG